AAGCGCACTCGCACGGGATTGAAATCTTCAACTTGAAACCCCAGAGTCCAGCTGCTACGGCCAACGGCATTGGCCCATGGCGAAGGCTGCACGCGTTGCCAATCCCGCCGCACCTTGACCAGACCGCTCTGTTTCGAACGCGGCGCCGTGAACCGCGCAGCTGCCCCTGCACTCCGCACGGGGTGAGGGCCCCATCAGACGTCGCCGCGGACCTCTGATGCCCCTGCCGTCGCCGCCGCCGCTTGGGCGGGATCCATGTGGGCGCGCCTGCCCTCGAGACGGGCTGCGCTGTCGATCAACAAGCCCTCCCGCGGGAACGTCAGCGAGATCGGCGACGCGCCAACTTGCCGTCAACTCCGCCGCACAGGCACCTGTCGGGGGTCGGTTTCTGACAAGTTCGCTCCGCATCGCTTCCGAGAGCCCCGTCGCCAATCCACGTGGCAACACTTCCCTTCCCTCTTGAGGGGTTCCGATCCGTTTGGCAGGTCAGCTGCCAAATTGTCACCGCTTGTGGGTTCCTGATCTCGTTGTACGGGGCGACCTCGTCCCGCTCACGGCTCACAACATGGGACGTACACCGTACAGCCGCGTACAGCCACGGGCACCTGGGACCGCAGACGGCCGGCGTGACGTTGTTGATTGATCGGCTTGTGTGAGATTTCGGATTGTGGAGACACCGACCTGCGACGGCACACCCGCCGCGGCCACGTGGCGCGTCTGGCCGCGAGGATTCGTCGCTTCATTACTCATGCATGTCGTTGGGTCGCAGCACGGCCTGGGCGCGTGAAAGGCGCGTGCAGCCCCACCGCCCGTCGATAAGTCATGGGCTGCATTACGACGATGGGCGGTTTTGGATGTGTACTGCAGGGTTTGTCGGTGCGACTTTTTTTGGTGCATCCCTCGGATTCGACAGAGGTCGCGCGGCCACGGATTGAATTGAAAGGGCGGTGCAAGGACCGGAGCAGAGACAGGCGCCCTTCGCGTCGCTGCTCTAGTTGCCGTGCGACGTTTGCATGGCGCATGCCAGGCTTGTTTTTTGCGGCGTAAACACGTCCTTACTTATGCATACAACGTTAACGTGTTACAACTGCACGTTTTTTAACGTGTTTTTTGGGTGAAACTACATAAATGCACGCTGTGTTTATGCCGTAAATAACAAGCCTGGCGCGTTGATCTGTTGAGCTGCAACCGTCTGAAATTGCCTGTGGAGCCACTGGCATTGGGGCGGAGGAGCGGGAACAGGGCGCATGAAACCGCATTTGTGTTTCCATGTTTTTTGGCTGTCGTTCCGTCTGCCGTTCCACGAATGTCCCTGGTGGCAGTGACGCCGGCGCTTTCATGTCACGCAACCTTCCTCGTGATCAGCCTGTAAGGCGCCTGGCCAACTTTCCCTGCGAATCGAGTCGAAGGGAAGTCCATGCAGCATATTACCACCCTGAGCATCTATCCACAGTTGTGAAAGTGGAAGGAAAGCATGGCTAACATTCGAGATTGCGCGCCTTGCTGGTCCCAATTTAAACCCAATTTGAACACAATCAGATACCGTATCGAATGTGCAATATTTTGGCAGGGTAAGCTGCACGAGGCAACGCACACTCAGCAGCCCGTTCCTTTTACTTGCTCACCAAAGTCACTGTTTTCGTTGCTGGCGACCAACGGGACTGACCGCGGCTTCACAATGATGCTCAGGGCCGGAGGTGTACGGCAACTGCAACGCCCCCGCCGCCGTGACGAGCTCTGCCGTCATCTACGCCATGCGGTGCCTGGTGCGCCAAGACATACCGCTCAACCAAGGCTGCCTGGCGCCCATCACGATCCGCATCCCCGCCGGCACCATCCTGTCGCCCTCCAGCGAGGCTGCTGTGTGCGGAGGAAACGTGCTCACCAGCCAGCGCGTTACCGACGTGGTCCTTAAGGCCTTCAGGGCCGCGGCGGCCTCCCAGGCGAGTCAGGACGACGCCGCGTGGAAGGATGGTTCATTTTCAAATGAACGTCGACCCAGCTCAGGCCTGTTACTTTGTGGCGTAAACACAGCGTGTACTTACGTATTTATTCACGTATTTGAAAGTAAAAACGCGTGAATGTACGTGAATGCATGCTGCGCTTACCCCGTGAATAACAAGTCTGCAGCTATGTTTGCATTGTTCCATTCGATTGCACTGCATAACATTCGAAAATTCAGGTGTCGCCTGCCGCCCGCATCTCAAAATTGCGATGCAATTTTCGGCCTGTCTCTTGTTCCAAAACACTACAATACGTTCGAGAGTCCAGGTGCTCAACCCCTCCTAACGGAAGAGATGCGTTACTAATGGCCTTGTTGCGCAATGAACATTGTGACTTGTGGTGGCGAATTGACGAGTGATACAAGTGCCACCACTGTGTTTGAGTGAAAGCTGCTAATTCTGATGTCTTCTTGATGTCTATTCTGATGGGCTGTGACATGTTATACGGCATTCAGCCCAACGTGTTAACATCTAAATCCACCACACATATCCAAATACGCAAATCTGAAACGTCTCAAGTATTGTGCGCGTTGTTAATTTGTCAACTTCCATTTGCTTGTCACTTGTTGGCGTTTTGTCGCTCCACCGAATCTGTTGAGAGAACTTTCAGAGGTGAATTTCAAGAGCAAGCTGCTTTCTTGTTCCGCTCCTGTCTCCGAGCCCGTCAGGCGCCACTTGATGGGTCCATAGGCAATTGTCTACGCAACCCTCAAAGGCGTAGTTCGCACCACGACACGAACAAGATCACGCGGTTCGGACCCATTTTGCCCGGCTTAACTTTCAGTGCACGATTTGGTCCCATTTTAGCACGTTGTGAGCTTCGCCTTTCAACAACGCTATGGTTCCCGTTAACACGGATCGAAACTGTGTGAAAAATTCACTATTTTCGTTTGGTCATTCTTCCATAGTCGAAAACGAACGCCAATTCCTGCTGCAGGGGTGCATGAATAACTTCACATTTGGCGACGACTCCATGGGGTACTACGAGACCATCGCCGGCGGCGCGGGCGCCGGGCCAGGCTGGCACGGCCGCAGCGGCGTCCACACGCACATGACAAACACGCGGATAACGGACCCGGAGATCTTCGAGCGCCGGTACCCCGTGGTGCTGACGGAGTTCAGCCTGAGGGAGGGGTCGGGCGGGAGCGGGCAGTGGCGAGGGGGCGACGGCGTTGTGCGAGAGGTAGGTCGGTGACTGCTCTGTTTTGGTAACAAAGTACTGTTCGTCGTTTCTGCTGCTGAGAGTTGGATCTCATGGAATGGGAGGCACTGGGGCGGAATGTCCTATGCCTATCCTTACCGGATATGAAGTTCATGAAGTGTACTAGAGACCCAAACTCCTAAAGGACCCAAACCCCCTGAAAATGACGTTCATTAACACTTCATTGCGGACACTCCACCACATCCGATTACGTACTCTGGTCTCCAACGTCGCACTCCCCCCAGTGTTGCAAATGCACTGTGCCCTTCGTTTCTGGACATGAAGCCCTGGAGAGCGTGCGCGGGTCTGGACTGGAGTGGAAGAATGGAAGTGAGCTAGGGTAGTGGACGCACTAGGGTGACGCGACACCCTGTTGCCGTCCCGCGCTGGCAGGTCCGCAAACGGGGGTCCATAGCCTATGCGGACCTGCTTTTAGGGCTGCCAGCATGAGAGGGCAACAGAGCGTTGCCCCATTTGTATGCTTTTCATCACCGCTTAACTCTTCCTGCATGAGATTTCCCATGTTGCACAGATTCGATGCGCAGGTAGACGTTGTCGAGAACCTGGCATTTGAAGCGCCAGCTACTGCAGACATGAATATCCAGCTGCAGTAGTTTGCCATGCGTGCGATGGGACAACACTGTGTACCATTTTCTGGCCCTTTTTTTGCCAGTTTGGTGTAGTTGGCTTAACTTGGGGCTCACCCACAGCTGATCTCGTGTCAGTGCATCGCTTTGGGGGTGGGAGCCAGAACATTCTTATTCTCAAATGTCCATCATTTTGACTTGGACGTTATGGGGACCTCGTTGTCGTTTTCTGTGCGCAATTGTGCCCTGCCCACCGACGTCGCCCACGATTACTGGCACCAATTTCCGGAATGAGACATCCAAGGCGACGATGCCTGTAGCAACATTCCCTCGTGCCCCGGCAGTTTCTGCCAGCTTTCGCCGATAGCAGCCGGGGGATGTGCGGCAGTGTGGCGGATGCGTTGCAGGTGGAGTTCCTGGCGCCCCTGACGGCCTCCATCCTCTCCGAGCGGCGCTCCACTGAGCCCTTCGGCTTGCTGGGAGGCAAGGCCGGCGCCGCAGGAGTCAATCTGTTGAAGAGGAGGAATGGACACACCGTCAGCCTGGGTGAGCCTCCACTGGCAAAATATAGCCGAATTCGCACAGTTCCTGATTGCTCTCAAACTGTGTGATAATGTAACCACATCGGTTGTTTTGAGGCGTAGACGCAATCAAATGGAGCCGAATGGTACTTTTTCCTGACCTTATTTGCCATTCTCTCTAGTGCCCCCCACATCCCCATCCGCCCATCGCACCCCACTACCATCGACTAGGAACTCCATTCTCTCTAGTGCCCCCCACATCCCCACCCGCCCATCGCACCCCACTACCATCGACTAGGAACTCGGCCACTTGGCGCAGTTGGATTCCATCTTTATCATGTCGACTTTCTAGGCTCGTCTGTTAAAAAGTCGTCTGCACCTCCATTATCAACATGTTTGCGGCACGCTCTTCGTGGGCCGTTTTTCACCGCCGCCATTTGGCGCAGGCGGCAAGGCGTCCGTGGAGGTGCATCCCGGCGACCGCATAAGGATCCTGACGCCGGGAGGCGGTGGATTCGGGGCGGAGGCAGGCGCGAACGGCGCAGCAGCGCCGCATGCCGAGGAGAGGGGCTTCGCTATGCCAGGCGGGGAGGGAGGCGAATTCAGTCGCCAGAGCGGCAGCGTGTTGGAGCACAAACGGCTCCAGGAGTCGGCGTAGTCGCGCTCGGCGACAAAGAGTGGGCGATTTTCGTCCCACCTATCCACCTCGAATTTGAGCTAGAACTGAACCCAGAGACATTTGCTGTTGTGGCTGTCTCCTGCAGACGACGGCGCACTGGACAAAGCGTGTAAAAATGTCTGGAACGGATCCATCGCTGCGCAAAGTGCTGCTCTATGGCTGAAGCATTGCCACTGAAATGGTGGACTGGCACGTGCGCCGCGGCTGGCGTGGCTGATCCACTCTACCTGTGGTGAATTTACCTGAAGAGATGTTGTGGCTAAGAAGTGGCGAGCATGCATTCAATGGCAGCCGGCAGAATCTGCTATTGTCTGCTGAGATGTGTCGGATATGCGATCCATAAGTTTGCGAACGCGAAATGGAAAGTAAGGGTTGGAGCCGCCCGCGATGCACTGGCACAAAATGTTTCACCCGAGGCGCAGCGGAAGCCGCTCAGCTAGGTTCAACCACGGTTTTAGCGGTTGAAATGTGCTGCTAAATTTACATGATCAAAATACCATCAGACATATTGTTAACATGTGCTGCGAAGGCCGCGATTTCCGGCAGCTGGAGACGATTCAGAACATTTGATGTCAGAGCGCGAAAGGCTAAAAATTGACCAGGCATGTGGGCTAGAGGGGGGCAGGGACGCGCGGGTGTCTGCGGCGAGGCTGGGGACACGATGCGTTCCGATTGGCGCATCTCCAATGCGATTCCGTTCGAATGGCGTACACTGGGCTGCCCGCCCTGATGCGACGTCTGAAGGACAGCGTTCGGTGTCGGTTATGTCACAGCCAAACCTTGTTATCCAATACCACATTATTACTCTATTGTTATCGTGCGGTATCCAACACCGTATTATTATCCGTATTATCCGTATTATCCAATCGGGAAAAACGACGCAACCAAGTGGTCCAAATCACTAACCCTTACACCATTTTCCCTAAAGCGGCAAAGGGTATATCCCTCCCTGGGGCAGAGCGGAGCACGCACACTTACCTTTCGGCCGCAACACGTCCACGGGCTTCTAGCATTCGAATGTGGACGTCACTGTAATGCTCATGTCGAGAATTTTAGTCATTGGCTCCTAGAAGTTGTAGCAGCTCCTGCAATCTTCGGACTGTAAGCGGCTGCTGTTCAATCCGATCGTTGAAGATGCAACTTCCAATTTTGACCTTTGCTCCCTGGTGAACACTTGAATGGGACCGGCAGCAGGAGTAGGAATTGGAGCAGGGTAAGGAGTAGGAGCCGGAGTGGAAGGACTCCTTGTACTTCAATTCCTATCCCGAGTGGGCGGGTGAGTAGGCTCAATAGGCGGAACAGCCAACCCCTTCGACCTCTGCCATCTCGATTTCATATTCCGCCTGGCGATTGTGAGGCCGAAAACCGGTGTTCCAAATTGCCCTCGAAAGACAGGGCGGTGCGCTTGCACCTTGTAGGCAACGACGGGCATGGTTGTCGTGCCATGTACACGAATGCCATCCAAAAATGATCCCCTTTCCCTCATCCTTTCATTTTATCCGATCGCCACCCGTGTGGTCAGACAACGTGCGACTGTGATGCCATTCCCCGCGTGCGGCACTGTGCACCTGGTATTGTGAAGTGTGCCGCTAACTTTCAACCAACGGACCCGCGCGACGTTTAAACACAAGTCCCCCGACTGAACACGAGCGCCAACGGCGCAAACTGTACCTGGCCCCCGCTCGCTGCCGTGGCAGGGGGGCTCCCCCTCCCTGCAATGAAATTGTGCAAATGGTGTGGAACTCAGGCGACATGGCCAATTGGCCGTGTGCAAATGGCCCTGTTGGAGAAGAGAGCGGCTCGATCCGCCGATTCCAAAGAACTGGTGTCCTTCGGAGCGCCCTCCCTCCGCGGCAAGCGCCAGCGCGGGAAGGGCGCAGCACGCGGATTGATTCCCCGCTTTCAAAGCGGTGCACTCGCCTGATGCATTCACGGCAAGCAGGAGAAGCACTTGGTGGCGCCCCTAAACCCCAATGCAGCCCAGCAGCGAACCCCCCGCCCCGGAGCCGTGCAGGAAACCGCAGGGCGCTTGATCCGCAAGACAACCGCCGCCCCTTGTACGATAGCCCCGGAGTGAGACTGAGACCCCCTTTTCAATTCCGCCCCAGGATCAATCAAACGTTACGCGCAAAAAAGCGTCCGCGGTTACTCGAACGTCACCGCAACCCACCCCACCCTCCTACGACACTAACCCGTACCGCAGTACTTGTCCACGCGCCAGCGCGGCCGTGTTGTCATTGGCGTCTTGTGGGGAGCTATTTTTAGGCGCGGCGCTGCTGGGCCTCGACCACGAGGCGCCGCGCTGGCAATGCCCACAGAAGGGACCCCCGCGCCTAAGCGCCGTCTCCGGAGGCTCTGCTGAGCCGGCCCCTGGCGCGGCCGCCCGCGCTGAAAAAGTGTCGATTGAGAGCATCGATCCGATCGATCGATTCGGTGGCCGATCGGCGCCCGCGCGGACGGGGGGCCTTGGGTTGACCGTCCTTCCGCGTCTGTCTGAGCCGGGGAGTGTAGTGAGGAGAAGATGCGGCAGTGAGGAGGATGGGGTCCGTTGCGGAGAAGATCCGCCTGCTTGCCGATGTCGAGGCCTGCGCGGAGGATCGCCTGCGGGCAGCGACTGAATTGTCCCGGGAGCTGATCGGCGGGCGGGCCGCGCGATCGGGCGTCCAGGCTGGATCGCCCGCGGGTGGAGATGGCGCGAATCGGAGCGCGGGAGGCATTCTGGACGGGGTGAGGCGATTGGGCGCGGGGCTGCAGGCGGCCATGTGGGGGGGGCTGCGGGGCGAGGTCGAGGAGGCGATCCGGCTGGACCACAGGTGGTGGCGCCTGCTGGCCAAGACGGTCGGTAATGGGGCGGAGGTGGACGGGGGGCTGGCCGATGCAGCCGCGGATGCGGTTGGCCAGATGTGCGCGGGTGGGTGCCTGGAGGGGGGTAGGCTAGCGGAGGGCGTGCTCTTGGCGCTGACCGCTGTTCGAGACAGTGTGGGGCTGGGAGTGGTCAAGGGGCCGGAGGCATGGGTGGGGCTGCTGGGCGCCAGCCTGGGGAGTTTGGGCTGCGCCTGCGCGCGTGGAGACGGCGATGTTGGAAGGGGTATCCGGGACCTCGGCGAGTTTCTGTTCCGGGAGGCGAGCGCGGTACTCGGCGGGCGCGAGCGCCAGCGGCCCGTGCTCGCCGCGGTGGGCCGGCGGCTGTACTTCGACGCACTGCGGGTGGCGTTCCCGATGAGCGGCGGGCGGGCGTGCGGGAAGGTGAGGGAGGCGATCAAGGCGTTTCTCGCCGGCGTGGTGTTCCACCCGGCGCACCTTACAGCCCTGGGGGAGGTGTGCGCGGAGGAGTTCTGCGAGATGTACGGCGAGGAGGCGGTGCCGGGGTGTAGTGGGGGCGGAGGGCAGGGGCCGAGGGCAGAGTCGTACAGGCATGCCAAGGGATTCCTGCAGCAGCTATCCGATGTGGGGAGCCCCGGGTCGCCGAGGGGGGAGCATGTTGGCCGCGAGGTGCAGGTCGCCGTGGCGTCCAGCCTTGGGTGGATGATGGACGCCTTCGGCGAGGCGTGGCGGATGGCGGGCAAGGAGAAGGACAAAGGAGGCAGGGGATTGGGCAGGGGGAGTGCAGCGGTGCCGTTCTGCGTTTTCACCAAGCTCGCGCTGATCACGCTGCCCGTGCTGACGGGCGGCGACCCCTCCGGGGAGGAGGGCAGCTCCGCAGAGTCGCCCAGCAGCGGCAGCGGGGAGAAGGCCAGGAAACGCAAGCGGCTGCAGAGCGGGGCCGCCGGCGGGGAGGGGATGCCCTGGTGTGTGGCGTGCTCGGCCCTGGCGGACTGCCTGGAGGCGGTGAAGGCATGCGGCGCGTACAGGCCCGGGGACGACCCCAGCGGATGCCAGAAGGAGTTTCTGGATCGGTTGGCCAAGGCCGTGCTGTACCACTACCCGCCCATGTGCTCCGTGCTGTCATCGCCCAGCAAGCGGCCCAGGGGGGTGGATGTGCCGCTGGAATGGACGCCAGCGGGGGCAGGGGGGCGGGCATCTGCCAGCTGCTCCGCAGTGGTGGTGATGCAGGTGCTGCTGGAGTTGGACCACCGGGTGGTGCAGCCGCACTTGGAGACGGTCTGGCTGGTGATCTTTGGCGCTGCGGGGGTGGCCAGCGGAAGTCGGGGGCGCAAGGGGGGTGCGGGCCGGCCGCCCGACGCCTGCGGCACGGCTGCGCAGCTGGTGAAGGTGTACTCGCAGATCAGGCAGCTGGACGTGCTGTTTGAGAGTGCGGCGGCATGTGTCAGGGCGCACAGGCACACGGGCTGCATGGCTGTCCTGTGCTCCAGGGAGTTTGTGTCCGCAGTCGCGGGCAGTGTGTCCAAGCTGCCCATCGGCCAGACTAGCCGGTTTGTGCACTGGGTCAGTCGGGAAATCAGGGAGCTGACAGACGCCCTGCCAGACGCCGCCCTGTTGGCTCTTGGGGAGTTGCTGGACTGCGTGCTGCAGAACCTCAGTGTGGACCTCACCAACGCTGTGTCAGTGGGGCTTGCGTCCAAGGCGGTGGTCATGACAGACCCTGTGAAGCACCTCGTGAGCGCCATCAGCAGGCGCGGAGACTTTGGCGATCGCCCGGTCTTTGGAACAGTGCTTCTGAGGCTGTACAACTCGTCCATTCAGTTGCACGCCGCATGTGTGGACCTCTGCCCCTTGATCGAGTCGCTGCCCGGCCAGGCGCTCAAGATCGACCGCGAAGATCGGCTGCAGTGCCCGCAGGGAATGGACACGGGCATGTGCCCTGGCGGAGAGTATTTCCAAGCAGCTGAGATCGGTGGCTTCCCTGGGCAGGACGGCCCGACACTGCACGGGGTGGGCCAGGCGCTGTTGGTCGATTTGAAGGCAGGCGTGTTCCCCGTGTTTGTGGAGAATCGGGACTGGGGCGCAGTGCTGGAGTCAACCCTGGCCGGGTGCATCCTGCACCGGATGTCTGTGCTCAAGACGAGGGCCCTGTGCCT